CTTTATAACACACGCTATAAATCACAGTGATTCACAAACTTTTCTGCCTACTGTTCGCTTGACTCAATTATCTATCTCTTCAATCTATCTGCATATCTTATCTATCGCTGGCTTTATTTGCCGAGCTTATTTACTAAAGAAGAGGGTGCCTGGCAAACACTCGGATATTCGCGGAGTTCTTGATAAGTCATGATCCTTCTAGAAACTCCAGCGCGCATGCTCTCAACTTCGCGTGATTTTCGCTGTTGTAACACTCTATTTTTAACTTTTACCGCATCAATAATTCAAACTCTCAAAAGCCACCAAATAATATAAAATTTTTAGACTTTGATAAGAGAACATGTCACGTTTTCTACCTGCTTTTATTAACATTTTTTTTTTCATTCAGTATGATTTCATGCAGTTTGAAATAAACACGTGGTACAAAAAACAATTAAGTTGTTTTGTGCCAATTACGCTTGCTTATTTGTTGTTCTCTAACAGATAATATTGTTACAACAGCAGAAGTCGCGTGAGGCTTGGAGAATGCGCTGGAGTTCTAGAAAGATCGTGACTGTTCCTCGCAACTCTAGACTTTTCTAGGCATGCTATGTTCTCGTATATAAGCCGGCAAATAAAGTTACGGCGGAGAGATAATTGCACACAGAGATATAAAGAGGTATAATAGAGTCAAGCTGGAAGTAAAGTGCGTGAATCGTTGTGAATTCTGGCGTGTGTTTAAGTTAAAGTAACTGTGGAAATTAATTGTATTGCAAAGTTGTATTAAGAAAGAATAAACTAGTTTTATTTAAGAAAGGACTTGTATCGCTGAAGTTTTTCAGAAAGAATTTTTACGGAAAATTAACAAACGACCAGAGAGGTATCAAATTGGTGTCAGAGAGTGGGATGATGGAAATAAGAGGGGGCAAATCAAAATACAGCTTAGCAGATTTGATGGCAGCAATACAAGAACAGCAAAAGAAACAAGAGAGATTGCAGCAGTTGTTGGAGGAAAATGAAAAGAAACAAGAAAAACGAGAAAAGAAACAATAAGATAGATTACAGCAGTTGTTGGAAGAAAAAGAAAAGAAACAAGAATAGAAATTATAGCAGTTGTTTGAGGAAAAAGAAAAGAAACAAGGAGTACTAGAAAAGAACCAAGAAGAGAGATTACAGCAGTGGCAACTGGAACAAGAAAGAAAACAGGAAGAAAATCTGCAACAGTTGCTGGAAAGTCAGCAGCAACTACAGGAAAGTCAACAACAGTGGCAACTGGAAGAAGAAAGGAAACAGGAAGAAAGTCTTCAACAGTTGCTGGAAAGTCAGCAGCAGCTACAGGAAAGTCAACAACAGTGGAAACTGGAAGAAGAAAGGAAACAGGAAGAAAGTCTTCAACAGTTGCTGGAAAGTCAGCAGCAGCTACAGGAAAGTCAACAACAGTGGAAACTGGAAGAAGAAAGGAAACAGGAAGAAAGTCTCCAACAGTTGCTGGAAAGTCAGCAGCAGCTAC